AAAAAAAAAAAAAAAAAAAAAAAAAAAAAAAAAAAAAAAAAAAAAAAAAAAAAAAAAAAAAAAAAAAAAAAAAATTTGAGAATTTGAGAATTTGAAGGCGATGGTATACTTTTTCTATTCACCGACACAAGATTCGATTTTTAAACAATGTATAATCTTGTTTTTTTTAAAAAAAAGAAGTAAAGAATATACAAATTATTAAAGAAGAGTACAATAGACGGAAAGTAATATGTATATATATGTATGTGTGTATATTAAAAAAAAAAAAATAAAAAAAAAAAAAGATAAAGCAAAAATAAAATTAAAAAATGGTATAAACTTTGAAATCTCAATTCGACAATAAAAAAAATAAAGAAATTCGACTAGCAAATAATAATTAATTTGCTGTGGCGTGTATATTTGAGTTGACGAGTAGACGCCTCGCAAAAAAAAAAAAAAAAAAAAAACAAGATCGGTATACATCGCCCGCGGTGCTGACCGAGAATTCAAATTTCTCCTCAATAATCTAATGTGAACAATTGTAGAATATAGAATAAAGAACAGATGTGCCTAATTAATTCTACTAATAAATGTCAATATTTCTTTGCACCAATTAATTAGATAAACTATAAAGAAAAAGGTAATCACATTTTTGTCGAGTGAGACAGTCCAATCTTTAATGTAACAGTGCTTAAGACAGAAAAAACCAATTCCACGACAGGATTGATAAAATGAAAAAATATCAAAAATAGTTACAAGTGTCATATTTTCACGAACTGCCTTCTCGAATTTCAGGCCTCAAATAAATGTAAAGAAGAATCCAATCTTTGACAATCCAGTACGAGTAGCAAGAGAGCAGCCGTGAGCGTTTTCTGGTCTGTGCTAAATTATTTTCAGACCGTCACCTGCTATTTTAAGTCTTATGCCCACATGACTAATCTCCCTAGTGAGCTTCATTAGAAGAATCCAGAACCACCATCACGTCGTCTACCGTCGTCAAATCCTCCAAAAATGGTATCAGATCCAACAATTCGGTATCATGGGGGTCATTAAACCATGACGATATCGGGACAGCATTGGTGGGGTGGAAGATATAGCTAGCTGGTGAATTGTCAATAATGATGGTTTCTCGAAGTTCCCTACCGAGTTGCGACAAGTCCTGATTGAAATAAACCGAGAGTTGATGAGTACCATAAAGGTGTGTGCTCTATTGATGAAACTAAAACAAGAGATCACCTTCACATAATTTCCCTTATGATTATAACATGATTCTCTGAACAACCGATGTTTCACAACTTTAGTTTGATCCAGCATGTCGAGGACGGGATCGGCGTACTAAAGAAGTAATGTAAAGTGATCAGAATTGATTTTTTTTATCCTTCAACCTAAGAATCATCCGACGGAACATCGGTTACCTTGGACAAACTAGCCGTGAACACAACAATCTCATATATTTCGCCCATCTTTCTCAAAAATTGATCGACACCTGGTCGCTTTATCACATAAACATTATGCATTTGATTCTCAATTTCAACTGGTACAACAAAGTCTGCTTGATGAATTAACTACGCGAATGCAATAAATAAATAAATAAATAAATAAAATTAATCAAAACCATTGAAGAGTTACAAAATAAGTCAAGGATGAACATAATTTTTTTTTTTTTACCTTAAAAGAACTGTGCACCAAAGTCTCGTCTAGATCTAGCACCAAACATTTTTTTCCTAGATGTTCGGGAGCTATTGGGGCAAGTAGATATTTACGCTCAATCTTTATAGGGATTGTGTAAATAATAATATAATGAGTAAAATTATAAATAATAATAATGATGATGATGATCATATAAAATATTCTATGTATTTCATTTGGAATTTTAGTTACAACCAGATAATTAGATTATAAATAATGCTTATAAAATCGTAATAGAAAAAAAAATATATATATATATATATTTTCTAATTACCTCTTCGACCGGCTCTTCCACAGGCGTCTCAGGTACCACTGGTTGAGTGGTTGCGTCCGATGGTTTTTCTTGCTCCACTGGCGGCTTTTTGGGAGTAGCTTTAGGTGTAGTCGCGGATGACGTTACTGCGACAGAGGCGCCAGTGGTGGGTTCCACCTTGTCGCTTTCATTGACTATGGAACCAGCACCCCATGTGCAACAAAAAAGCAAGGAGAAAAATGAACGCGGTGGCGGGCGTTGGGTAGCTCCGGTGTTTGCCGGGGATTTTGGACTTGTAGTTGCGGGTGGACCTGGATTTGCAAGGGTAGTGGATGTAGTGGAAGTTGAGATGGAAACATTTTTCGAAGGAGTAGATTGGGTTTCTGGGTCTATGTAAAAAATAAAATCCCTTGATTATTTGCAGTAACGATGTCGAATGCAAAGAACCTTCTCGTGACCATTATTATTTTTTTTTTTTTAATGGATTGAGAAAACTTTATTGGCCCTCTGTTATAAGCCCTATGAAAAAGCACAAAGAACTCTACGAAATCTCGATAAACACATGTGGATTACAGACTCTTAATTTCCATACATTCCATTTAAACTCCTATTTATTTCAATGTTCAAAATAAGTTGAACCGAAACGTAGAAACCTTACCTTCAGTCTTCGTAATAGTATTAACCTGTGTTATTATACTACTATGCCCACTTTCTGGACTGACTTGAGTGATTGGTGATTGACTCATGTCGAATTTCTTTTATTACAAGTGTGAAAAATTAAATGAAATTGTTTGATAACAAAAGAAATAAATATATGACCTTTAAGTTAATAAAGGATAAGTACTGTTTCGAAGTAGACAGTTAAGTAATTAAGAGGAAATATATACAGCCGCGGTTTATGAAAATAATAACACCCTATGATTAGAAAGAACGGGGGAAGTTAGAGATGTGAGGGTGCTTTACCGAAGGGACCTCAGCTTGACAAAACGAAATAAGAAAGCGTAGACACCTCGGTAGAAAAATGCTTGAGGTAGTTTTCGGAGGGGTGATAAGGGATTATTATAATACGCAAAAATAGTTATGGTGTTTAGTACTATCGCAAGCTTATCATAACCGGGTCTTTCGGCACGGAATTAGGACCAGGAAGATTTAAACTCTTTTTAAAGTTTTTATGGGGACTAAGGAGTGTGAAAGTTGGGAAATTGCGAGTCCCTAAGTGAGTTATTTGTTAGATGTGCGGCAGAGGACAAAAAATCTACGATGGCGATTTCTATTAGTTGCCAATTGTCAAGCCCAACGCCCTCTGGCGGCGAATAGCTTCAGGGCGTGTGAGAGACAAAGCAAAACACGCACCTTTTTATTATCTTGATAATCTTGAGTGGGCGAGGAAAGAGAAGCCGTGCAAAGAGAAAGTTGGCACTTGGACTGGTTTAGTTTCAAAGGATTATGGATAGTACGTCGCGCAAACAAAATTTGCGGCAGGAATTGCACAACATGATTCCTTAGTCCTCATAGGAATCAAGTGGTTATTGGCCAATATGTAAAATATTAGGTAGCTGTGCTCCGCACATTTTAACCTGTATCATGTTGATTACGTAGATTACGTATCTCAAAGTCCGAGTACGTACGCCCGTATGTACTTTATTATCCCATAAACGTAGATAAAACATGCGTGCACGAAATTCAACCAACATTGATTTCTCGATTTTTTTTTTTCAAATCACGAAACCCCGTATATTCTTAGCCAGAAATCATTGATAATGTTTGTTTGTCTAATTTTAATTAAAGTTAATTTGCAATCATTAGAAAACTTGTTTAATGAATTATTTTCTTTAAACCAGTAATAATTATTTAATAATTCAGGTTTGTATCTATTTTTAATTTTGATAAGCATAATGAAAAACATAAACAAATTGCTATTATTTGTCATTGTTAAAAACTGTTTTTTTTAAAAAAAAAATAATAATATTGAAATAATACTGTGTTACAGTATCTAAGAAAAAGATTTAATATGCGGTATTTGAATTTAATAAAGCATGCATAGAATATTTTTCGAATTTATTTTTTTTTATTTTTATTTTTAACTTGTCATTATTTTTTATCTTGGTTAGAGTATATGCTATATAAGAGTGAGAGTTTTTTTTTTTTTTTTTTTTTTTTTTTTTACCTGGCAATCAGGTCATTATGAAATATCTTATTGATAACTATATATTAATATTTGACAATTTGATAAATTTTTTATGTGATAACATATTTATTATTGAATATTCTAAAACTTTTTTTAAGTTTGAATTAAGAAACAATATTTTGTTCTTTCTATAATTATAAAAAAATTAATTTATCTATAAGAATTATTATTAATATATTATCAATTTGATTATCTGCTAATATTTGCTAATTATTGAATTATAAAATTAAAAAAAAATTTTTTTTTAATTTATCATTAAGTTAACATGACTTATTTTTATTATGAATTAAAAGAAATAATTACAAATTAAATAACTTTTACATATTAATTTACCTATCATTAAAATTTCTTTTTCTAGATACAATTTAAAAGATAATAATTTGTTTTTTTTTACAGTTTAAATTATTCTTTAATTATAAAGTTTAATGCTTATAAGTCATTATTTTAAATCACCTATAGTTTTATCAGTAAATTACAAACCAAACCATTTCTTTTTTCATATTACTTATCTTTCAATAATTTCTTTCAATTAAATAATATCCTTATAGTACAAATTTTCTATATTGTTCTTATTAAATAAATTGTTTTTTCTTTTAGATTCTATTATAATATTGACACTTTTATTTCTTGATATTTTATTTATTTTGTCTTTTTGTATTATATCTAAGATTCTCTTTCATTTAATTATAGTAATATAGTAGTTGTTCCAGATTTTTTTTCTAAAACTTTTTTATATATCTTAATAAATATTTTTTATGACTTCTCTCATGATTATTAGTTTTATTTTAAATTGGTTTTTAAGATGTTCTTGAATCAATTGAACTTTATTTTTGTGTAAGTATTCACAAATCAAATTATAAAAACTTTGATTTTGTTGTTACAATTCTTTGATTTATTTGTCTATTTTTTTTCAAATAACCTTCTGATTATCTGTTATAATCTTTTCTTATCTATTATAATCTTCTCTTCTTTTCTAACACTAGTTAAAATTATACCATTTGATGATCAAATTATTGTTAAATTTGACAAAATATAATAATAAAAAGATTGATGAATTATATATAATTGCTGTCACTTGGCATAAAAAATATTAACAAAAAATCAGCAAAAAATTTCAACATATTGTGACAAAAAAATTCAACATAAAATCTAGTAATATTGCAATAAAAAATTTTTTTACATATTGTAACAAAAAAAAATTAATACTAAGCAAAAATTTTAGCAAAAAAAATTATTATAACAAAAAATTCAACAAAAAATTGATACTATAATAAAAAATTCAACAAAAAATCAATATTATAAAAAAAATACTATAGCAAAAAATTCAACAAAAAAATTACTATGATAAAAAATTCAGCAAAAGTTATAAATCTAGTATTAAAATTCAATAAATATTCAGGAAGTAGGAAGTTTAACAAATTTCACAAAATTTATTAAAAAATTACAGAATAAATTAACTAAATTATTTATTGCTTTTCTCTTCTTCCTCTTCCTTCTCTTCCATTTGTTTTTCTTTTTCCTTTAAAGATTTTGATTTAATCCTTTTAAAACTAGTCCAATTAATTTTATCTTGTTAAATGTTTTTTGAGATTTTTTGTTTTTTATTCTAACCTAACTGTTCCTAAATTTTATTTATTTATACACTTTCTCCAA